GAGACTTTGTGCCTGCCTTCCTCCATTCGTGCTTTAATTCAATCCATATTTACTGATCACAAGCAGTCATGGGTAACAACCAGCCTCCTTACTTTGTTGAGACATCTGGTATTAAGTGCATACACAGCACTTGCAAAGCAGTGCAGCTCCTTGACCTGAATGCTTTTTGAACAAACCTGCTTGGCACCCTATATGCTGCCACCAGTCCTGTTTTTGATTCAGACCACCAAAATTCTAACTACCGAGTCATTTATTTTTATTGGATCACTACGTCCTGCCCTGCTGTGTGCAGGACTCTGGCTCTATGCCTTCGTGTATTCTAAATACACTCAACGAGCACCAGGCACTCACCAGACCCTGCTCGATAGAATAATAAGCAAAACCATACAGAGAACCTGGTCCCTACGCTCATCAAATCGGCATTAATCAAACATGCCCAACAGGGATATAATGACAAGCTAAGATTAAGTTATCTAAAAACTGTTCAAACACTTTACTCAGATCCAGGTGCTAGTTAAAGCCAGGTAAGAAGGGCTCACTCAGCAGGGCCTTCCTATCTTTGCTTCATTTGAAGCAAAGACATGAATTATTTAAACCAAGTAAAGCAGGAGTAGAAACCAGAAAAATGCAAGAAGGAGGATCAGGCTGATTGTCATCCACTCTCCTAAGAGCAGTAGAAAGTGATCATGAGGACTTAGGGAGAGTGGGAGAGGTCAGAAGGATGCTTTTAGCATCCAAGGCCTGATACCTTCACTTCCCCGTAGCAGCAGTGTGAGAGGGGTTTGCAGGAGACCTATGTGCCAACCATGGTGGCCACCTGGTGGTTCAGTGATCCCTGGGATGCAGAGGGTGAGGAAAAACATGAAGAAGAAAGTTTCTAGCTGGAGAAACTGCACGAGTGATAATGTGAGGGCCTGCAGAAGAGAGCAGCTTGGGACAAGTGAAAAAACCAGCCATTGTTTTGGGTTCTGTGAAAACAGCTATGGAGGATGGATCCCTGCGGCTTTACAACACACCTGCAAAAATAAACACCATTTTTCAGGTTAAGGAACCCATTAAAGCTTAATATTTCCAATCCAGACTTCATGTATCTGACTTTTCAGGGTGATCTAGAGCTTTTAAGCCCTCATAAAGGCTTTCAAGATGATTACCCTGCCCTGGAATCCAAAACCCAAAGCCAGAGTGAGCAGAGAGAAATGGATTTGAGATGATGCTAGAGGTTTGGGGCTGTTTTGTTACCTCTGCCAGGGCAGCCATGTATGACTGTGTAGCTTGTATTCCACACCAGCCCAGAGAGTGTCCTTCATGTCAATCCGTGTGAATGCTGCTTCCTGAATACAAGAGCCCTGCCCTTCTGCAGTTTCCTTTCAAGGACAAAACTCAGTAGCTCTCCCATAATCTCAGGGTCCAAGGCAAATCAGTGACCAGTATCATGTCACCCCCTTTAGTAACCTTCATCCAAATCCAGCTATCCCTTCCTCACTTTTTTGTCTGTTCAGGTAGCACTCCAGGGAGTGGTAGATGCAGAAGGAGAACAAAGCCTCTCTAAGCCATCACTAAGCCATCACTAAGTCACCATTACTTGCAAAAGTATTGAATTTATATATCAAGCCCAAAATGACATCATTATCTGCTCCAGTAAATTCTACCTGGAGACAAACAGATTATATCAAGGCTGTCACCTTTTTTCTTAGATGATAATAAAATATTCCCCAAATGACAAGTTAAAGAATGTCCCTGCTCACCTGATCATACGTCCTCCAAGACTCAAGCTGTTACCTAGATGACCGTGAGCACTTCTTTCCTTGCAGACAGACCAGTCCTCTCTGAGATCTCTCTGCACTGAAAAAGTCTTGTGTTTTTGCAAAGGCTCTGGGGCGGGGTCAATCCCCAGCTATTGATCTGGATGGTGACTTCAGGACTCGTGGAAGCACGGCCCACACCTCATCAGCCCCTTCCGAGTGACACCAGAGTTGCAGAGGTGCTTGGGATGCCTGAGTTTCCTGCTCATAAACACCAGCAAGAAGCACAGATTCACAAGCACCTTCCCTGGTTTCCGGTGGGGCAAGCCCATGTCCTGGTCTCTGATCCAAATGAGCTCAGCTCCTCAAAAGAAATTGTTCTGCTGTTTCTCCACTATGACTGGTCATTTCCATCTTGGCTCTTTAAAAGGAACCTTTAAAAGATCCTTTTTATTAAAGTGTACCTGCTTCTGATACAGAGAGTCAGAAAGAGTACATTCTTTCCCATCAAGATGATTACTCTGCAGATGGGCTGCAGTGGTTTTTCTTTCTTTTAAACCACATATCCTGTATCCACTCCAGTGCAATTGTTCATTTAGTTGTGATTGTCCTTTCTTGTCCTTATGCCACATCCCACAGAGTATAAGTTGACATTTAAGTCATCCAGAATATTCCTCCTATACAAGTCCAAGTATTGACCAATACCCACTGCAGACCGGATCCCTCGGTCCATGGCTGTCACTGCTGAAGTGGCAGATATGTCCCCTGGCTGCAGTGCTGACTCTCCCTTACTTTCTCTTTGAAGATGGCCTTCCTAGGACATCAAAGTGTCCTGTGTCCTTCTAGTGGCAGCTGACAGTCCCCTCAAGGCTGGCTCATGACCTACTTCTTAGGGTGTGTGGGCTGCAGTGATCCTCACCCATTAGCAGCCGCTCCAGTTGCATAGCTGGTGGTTTTTGGGGCCCTGCAGCCAAGCTCCTCAGTGTGGGTCCCCTGGAACTTGGCATTTGGTATCATCTAGATAAATCTATATACTTCCAATAGAAGGCAGTTTACACATAATTCCTAAATTCTAATTCCAGTTCTAACAAGGCTTAAGTGTGAAAAGCAACCCAATAAATTTCTTTTAAAATGTTTTCCCAAGAACTAGCAAACATTTTTTAAAAATCCTGACATTCTACTATGGATAAACCTCTCACAAAAGAATGACATAATCATTAACTTCTTTCTACAAGGAAAAGGTTATCTTCTAAAGTAAAATGTTATCTGCTACTGAGTTTGAATATTGCATGTAAAATAAAAATTTTATTACCTAAAATGTTTATCAAGAGAAACATGTGACTAAAAGTGACCAAAGCACCTTTGCCATAGCTGATTTCTAGCCAGAAACCTACCCTAAGGAAAGAGAAAATTAACCGTAATTGTTCTCCTGGCTAAGGCAAGAAACTGGTAACAGACTTTCAAACAAATGCTTCTTTTTTTCCTGTCTCTTTTTTAATGATGTAGGGCAATTTCTCGTCTAATGAAGGGGCTCGGTAAATAAATTACACATCACTTTCAACTGATTACTCTGTACTAGGGACATTTCCATCCCAGCAATTGCTCTTAAGAAATGAGGCAAACCTTTTCCTCATAGCAGAGCCAAGAACACAAGAGTTTCTTGTTAAAACATTTGTAACATTGATGTGGAAATGGATAGAAATGGTAGAAATGGATCACAGGTGCAGTCCAATGCTCTGTGTTTACCCTTCAACACCATTAATTTTCACACACACACACACACACACACACACACACGCAGAGCCAGAATTGGTGTAAATCTTTGAACACTTTTTACCCATTGCTGGGTATAGAACAGAATGCTGAAATCATTGAAAGCACAAAAATACCTACTGAGCTTCTATAATAAATATTTTTGTTCACTGAGCTCTCGCAAAACTATAAGACTGTCAATAAATACGGAGATAATCACAAACTTTCTCAATTTTGAAATCTCCACATTCAACTCTCTGGGAGGCTGATGGTAAAAAGCAAAGTACTTACACAGCATTAATCAACTCTAATGGTCCTTTTAAAGACACTTACAATTAGATCACTCTAAAAAACCCACTTCCGGCTACACTCTGAATGGAGGTTTGGGTGTCTTCGGGCCCTCCCTTCCCCAGCTACATTTGCAGCGCAAGGGTAAATTAGTTACAGTAATAATCCCACAAATATCCTGCCTTGTAATTAAGATGTCACTTAAAGCAGATTTTATGTTTTGGTCTCTATGAAAGTTTGAAAGGTTAGAGGTGTCATAAATGATGCATTTCCTTGCATGCCAGCCTTGTAAAAAGTGCTTTCACTGTTCATTAAATATATTACCTGTAACTGGGCATAGACTTTTTTTTTTTTAGTACAAAAGAGAGAGAAGCATTTCCAGTAAGTTTCCTATCCCTCTACTGGAGAGCCGGAGCACCCCTTTGTAATTAGGAGCTGCTAGAGTCTGCTCCAGAATATGTGGCCTCTGTCAACTTCTACAGTGAAATTACCACTCACCAGCTGCATGGTGACACAGTGAAACACACCGGGCCAACACGCTGCTCTCCTCTCCAGAGAACAAGGGCATGGCGAACCCTACATCACCAGCAACAGTTGGGCCTCTCCCTGTTCTGCCTCTGCCTCATTCGCAGATGTGATCTAACGTTAGAGACCCTAGGTCCTCCCTCATCCCTGTCTTGGAGCAGGGCTAACCAGGAGAGTCCATGCTCACAGGAGCTGAACGTTTATACGCATCCACCCCAGCCAACGCTCTGACGTTCTCACATAGTTTTTTGCTGCCTCCAAAATACCGTTGGAGGTGTTTTTGGTTTTGTTGTTGTTTTGTTTTCCTACCTACCCGTCCTACATCCGCAGAAAGCTGGACTCTTCCTCAAGAAGGAACACACCCATCCATTCCCCATCCTTCGGGAGCTAACTGCAATTTGCACCTCCTTCCCCACCCCACCCCCTTTTTTAAACACCAGGCCAAAGGGAGCAGAACTGGACACAGGCGACCCAACTTCGGCCAGGCCACTACCACACCCCGCTCCTCTTCGGCGATGGTTGGAGGAAAGGCCTGGGCTCCAGAGCCTCGCGTCCTGGGGAAGCCCGCACTCTGGCAACTAAGCGGCAAAGTTCTTTCTTTCTCCTCTATTGCAACATCGTTCTTCTCCTTCTTTCCATCATCAGCACGCGCGCACACAAACACACACGCACAGCCTTGCTCTCGAAACTTACCAGCTTAGACTTGGTGCGTTGCAGAAATTCTTCCATGTCTTTGCGATGGGCTTGGCCCAGAGTTTGGGGGCAGAGTCTGAGGAGGAAGATCGCGGCCCGGGGACCGCAGCACGGTCACCGCAAAGTGGCCAAGCGCTGCTGGCGGCTCGCTCCGGCCGCTCCAAGGTGGCTGAGGCCGCGTCTGCGCCCCCGGCCGTCTCCTCCCGGGGCTCCCGCCCCACCTCCTGGACCCGCCGCCTGCGCCCGGCTCCGAGTCTATCCTAATAAGGAAAGTGGGTGTGCCGCTCGGGCGCCAGGGCTCGCCCCTCAAGCTCACCGCCCGGGCGCCTTGGGACACGGGCCGGGGAGGGCTACGGGGGGGGGATGGCGAGGGGCGCCTCGGCCAATCGCGGGCCCGGCTGCGGCCTCCTGACGTGGTGCGCCGAGAGATGCTGCAACCATGGACAGCGCCCAGAAGTGCCTGCCAAGTGCAAGGGGCGACTGCAGAGGGAGCTTCTGCCGCAGGCACCGCCGCTCTCTGCCAGGACAGGTGGGCAGAGAGACGGCCCCAGGAGAGTCCCCTCCCTGGCCAGCGTCTCCCTGGCTGGCTGGCAGCCCTCACTTAGGGAGCTGACCTGCTGGCCTGGCTGGAGATGCGCTCAGCTAGATCGACGCAGAGCGTGGGGGTGGGGTATGGAAGGGGTACTGTTGAGCTAAAAGGAGCACGACCTTGGACCTTGATAGATAATAATCGAAGAGCGGACAGGGAGATTGTACCAGGCAGCATCTTTCCTTCCTACTCTCGAATCACATCCAGCACAAGACCGCCGCAATTCACTCCTAATGAACGGCCTCGGGCTGTTGCGTAGCTGCGCCCTTCTGCAGTTCCCCTCCACTCGCCGGTGTGTGCAGGGGGAAGCTCAGGCAGCAGAACCTTGATGCCCAAAGTGTGTTCTGCAGACCAGCAACATCACATCACCTGGTTAGCGATTCATAGCCTTTGTCCCCCTCCCCTGAACTACTAAGTGTCTGTGTTTCTGCAGGATTCTTCAACGATGTCAGGAAACATTAAAGTTTAAAGTGCACTGCAAAAAACACTTCAGTCTGCAGCTAGGAACCTATTTTAAACCGTGTTTTGCGGTTGTTGTTGTTGTTGCCTCCACTGGCCTTGCTAGGTCCCTGGACTCCTTTCTGCACCTGGGTCTTTCATATCTGCCTGTAAGAAGTGCTTGCCTCTGTGCAGTCCTCAGTCTGGGACCAAGGTATACTTCAGCTGTCAGCATCAAGAAATGGTCTCAAGCCTGGCTGCACACCATAAACCCAGGATATTTTAAGTACGGATTCCCAGCTTTAACTCAGTCCAATTAAACCAGTGTCTTTGAATGAGGGACCATGGCACCAGCCTGAGCAGCTCAGGTGTGAGGCTCTAGTTCCCCATGGAATTTAGCAAGCTTCTGGATCATTTAATAAAAACACAGGACTTGATTTTTTTTAATGTGGGTTTTATGCCTCATCCCCAGAATTTCAAGCTTCCTAGGTCTTCCTGGTTTAAAGGACTTGCGAATGTGTTTGTCTAACCACTCCCTGGGTTTGTCCATGCTGCAATCCAGTCTAGAATGAGCAACTTAGAAGTTGTTTGTTGAGGAAGCCTTGCCTGACAGTCTCCTCCCTTTCCAATCCCAGGTCGAACCAATGGTCCCACCCATGTAGTCTTCTTATAACAACTTATGTATGTTTGTATGTTTTTACTCTGCTGTACATTTCCCGATTACTTGCCTGTATCCTCCACCAGACTATGAGCCTACCTCCTTCATTGATGGATCTTTAAAAAAGGATATATGCTCATGTCAGCATAGATTCTCAATAAAAATTTATTAATGAATAAATGCAAATATAGAGGTTCTTTGCCCTCTGTCTGACCTTGATTGTTTCTACCTGTCATTGTCTGTTTTTCTATGTTATGTATCTACCTGCCTCATAATCCCTCCCCTTTTTTTTTTAACTTAGAAACTAGTAAAAAGAAACAGCAGAGTCCACAGATCTTATTAGAAGAAGTGATAGGATATTAAGTCCCAGGTTACTTTCCAGTGATGAGCTATGTGGAAGCTGAAGACCTTGTCTACTTCCTTTGCTGACTTAAGTAATTTAAAACCATCCAGATAGAACAAATGTTTTGTCAGCCTTTAACTCAGTAAAGGTTCAATAGCCTTTTCTCATTACTGGGAAAAATTCCTGAGCATTCCTTGCATATGACTTTGTTTGGGAATTTAATGGCAATCTCATAATGTTTTGTTCCTCTGTTTTCTTTTTTATTTTGAAGAGAATAAAACCAAATGAGACAAAATAAAATAGAGTCAATCAAGACAAAAGGATCAACATGGTACATGGCTTAAAAACAAAATACAAGGAGATCAATAATGGCTACCATAATGCTTCTTGTTATCTTCAAAAGAGTTGCCCCTATCATCAGGCATAATAAAATTGACCAAAACAGTACAGAACAAAACTAATAAAAACAAAACATTGCAGACTTTATAGGACTTCAAAAGAAGATAATAGTCAAACCAGAATGGGTATCAGAGTGAATCTTATTATCTTCAAAGTAGTTGCCTGTACCCTCAGACTTGATAATATCAAACAAAATAGAATAGAATAAAATCAGTCAAAACAGAACAGTGAAAGCAATACAGGGCTTCAAATCAAGCTAATAGGAAATAAAAAATGATACCCTAATATTCCTGCTATCTGTGAAATAGCCATCCATGCCATCAAATCTAATACAAATAGATAAACTGAAACAGAATAAAACCAAACTAAAACAGAACAATGAAAACAATATGGGTTTCAAATCATGATAATAAATTAACAACGGCCACTATGCTCCCTTTTTAGACAATTCCTCCCCCTTTCACTTTCACAGGGTGCATTGTACATTTTGTATTGACTAACTCCTTTAGTTTTTAATTAGGGAGGCAACCTGCTATTCACCTAAGTGATTCTGAACCTTTTTACCCCTGAGCATGATCTTAAGCTACATCCATTAGCCTACACCAGCCTCAAGGTTTTCGTTTTTTAAGGCTGAGTAGTTTTCCATTGTATAAAAGTGTCATGGCTTTCTAACCAATCTGCAGCTGATGGGTAAGCTATCTCCACCATTTTTTTTTGGTTACCTATCACATAGAGCATTATTTCTCATCTTTGACTTTCAGTCTATAAACCCCCTTTTGGGTTAAGTGTATTTCTTATATAGAGCATATTGACCGGGTCCCATCTTCTGATCCACTCTGTCTGTGTTTTTTTTTTTTTTATTGGTGAATCAAGGACATCTATATTAGTGATTACGGCCAACCTTCTCCAGCTCATCTCTGCTATGCTATTCTCCTGCCATTGTTTGTCTACTTTTCCCCTTCATTCCACTGTCTGCCCCATTCCATAAGCCCCCTCTGCTGCTATTCCTGAAACCATGGTCTTTTTTCTCTCTCTAGAATGTCCTTCAGTATTTTTATGGGGTTGGTTTGGTTTGGAACTACCCCAGTTCCTTTTTGTCATGGAAGCATCTTATTTCTCCAGTAATTTTGAAAGACAGTGTTTCAGGGCACATCAATTTGGGTAGGAGGTTATTTTCTTTCAGGACTTGGAATACTTCACTCCATTCTCTTCTTGATTTGATGGTTTGTATCAAAAATCTGTCATCATTCTGATGGGTTTTCCTTTATAGGTAATCTGTTTCTTTTCTCTGGCAGCTTTTAATATTCTGTTCTTCTGTTGAATTTCTCGAATCTTGATTATTATATGTCTGGATGTAGATCTATTTTGGTTGTAGCTGGCTGGAGTTCTGTATGTCTCACTTATCTGGATATCGTTTCCTTTTCCATGCTTGGGAAGTTTTCTTTAATTATTTCTGTAAATAGCCTTTGCATTTCATTTGTGTTTACCCTGCTTCTTCATTTACATTTTTTATTCTTAAGTTACAGTTCCGCTTGTCATCTTCTAGCTTTTGTATTTTTACTTCCTGGTTCCTTGTTATTTTTAAGAGTTCTTTCCTTTTTTGATCGCAAGCTGCAAACCTGTCTTTAAGGTGTTATAGTCTATCTTTAGTATCTTCCAAGCAGTTTTTCCAGCTTTCAATAGAGTTTTTTATTTCCTCATAATCTCTTTGAACCTGTTTTATATATTCTAAATCATTTTTATATTCTTCATCGAAGATTTCCCTCAGTTTTCTATGCTCCTCTATTCTTTCATCTGTGCCTTTTTTTAGAGGTGCTTAGCAATTCTATTATGTTTTTCATTTCTTCTTTTGCCTGTAATAGCATTTCTGTTCTAAGTTCTTTTATACCCTCTTGAAATTGTTCCTTTATTTCAGTTGCTGTTGCTTCAGAAATTTTAGGTGTGTGACTCCGATCTCTTCTGTGTTTACATCTCCTGGATCAGTATTGCTTGGGTTGGAGGCCAGAGACTGCCTTTTGCTCCTTCCTCTTGGCATGTTCCTGGTTTCTTCTGGAGAGGTGGGTAGTGGGGTCCCCAGCACTTCCTGTGTTGGTTATAATTTCTCTGAAGCATGCTGGCTAGGAATATCTGATGGTGACCATTGAGTGCACTTGTATAGGGCTGTTTGTGTTTTCCCCAGCCTGCTGGTGGCTACGGAGTGCAAGCAGGGGCGAGGCAGGCTGGCACCTTCCTTCTGAGCTGTTTAATCACAGGGAGCCCTCATCACATCAGGCAGGCAGAGCTGGTTCGGGATAGCTTTAGGGAAACCTCGGTGGTGGCTGTTGGACCCACACACGGGCGGGACTCAGTCCAAGCAATTTCCACCAGTCTGCTCTGAGCTAGGAATGGCTGAATGAAGCCAGCTACAGTTCTGGTTCCGGGATTAATCCTGACTGACTCCAAAATAGCCCTTGGCCAATCACCCAATTTTGCGGGAGGACTGAGTCCCCACACTCACTGCCAGCCAGTGCAGTTCTCCAGTCAACTACTCCCCTCTGCCACCGCATCTCCCCAGAGAGGCTTTCAGGCTCGCCAGCCACCAGCTTCACTGTGGACCATGCGCCCCCTGGTTCCCACAGCACTTATCCCATGGTGGTTCTGGCTCTGGGTGAAAGCACCACCAGCTACCACCTTCTTCTGTTTAAGTTTTTTCTTTATTGTTTCTGTAGGCTTCAATTCTCACTCTAGGTTCTCCATGGATCGTGGGGACCCACTTCCTTCCTTCTTGTCATCTCCAGAACGCTATGTTCCAGCATCTGGACTGTTTCTCTTAGAAAGGCTGTTTACTCTGTTGCTTACTGTTCTGCCATCTTCCCAGGATCCTTTTTTTTTTTTTTTTTTTTGGTTATAAACATTTTGGGTATTACACATCCTC